AATTTTCAATAAAATCGACCAAGGTATTTTCTCTTGTCGAAAGAGGGGAATACGAATACCTAAAAAAAAAGTATTTCATTAAAAAAGCTAAAAAGTATTTCATTGTTTTTATGTTGTAGACATCAAAATTTTCTCCGAATGAATGAATGAATGATTCTTGGCTTTTAAATAGGACATTGTCTATGATAAGTTCCGTTGGAAAAGCCAGAGGACATTAGAATTCCTCCACATACGGATCTTGTCAACATTGTACCAGATAAATAAAAGTATATGCTCCAGCCACACAGTGCTAAGAAAAGGGAAGAAGAAATTAAATAAACAGTACAATATTTCAACAATGATGGTTGGAATGGATTACTTGAAAAGAGCTATATGACATCCATCTTAACGAGAGTTTGATGTACTGTATGTAGTCAAATTATATTGTCATCGATGTGACAATTGTCAGTGGAATGCAACATGGTATCCTTTTCGTATTTTATTTATGAAAATAATATAATAGTATAGTCGTGATGTTTTGGATGTTTATTACAGGTATTTAATGTGTTGTCTGGCCGATAAAAGTACGTATCAAGTTTAATGCCTTATTAAACAAGACAAAAAGGCCATCCAAATATAACTGAAATTTAGCTCCCAAGCCTTTTATAAGTCAGTATATCCTCTCACAGATGATCTTAAAGTCTATATATTCAGAATTTTGGGATTTCAAAGTAAATCACCAGATGCTAAAAAAAAAAAAAAAAAAAAAGGATTTCTGAATTCGCAATGATAATAAAATCCAGTGTTTTATCAAATTACTTTAGCACTGGATACATTACCCGATTGTCGTTATTTTGAATATTTACATTTAAAATATCGTGGCTCGAGATTTCTAGTGTTCATTTGAAATATTGTCACTGTTTATATATATATATATTAAAGTATGATAGATTACACAATTTGGCAGTTACCTAATGACGAAGAAGCTACCATAAGATTCAGGATAAAGGAATAATTCATAGCAAGAATCTTTATTCTCAAAATCATCCGATGAAGTTAACTTTTGACTCAAACAAAGCTCCTATGTGGCGTTGTTACGAACGTTTCTTCTGTGAAAAAAAAGGATTAAGAACCAAAGCATGGTGTGAAGGCTCGCGTCTTACTTTCCTCAATGCCGTTCGTTTCATCTATCTGTGGTGTCAAGAACTGACGTCGACTGAATTTTGGGAACTTCAATTAGAAATGAGCCATAATACGACAGTAGATAGGAATAACTACTTGAGGGAGGTATGTGCAAATAATTTGATGTCTCGTAAAAGAATTAAAATCCTAGAAATAGACGAAAGACTTTATACTAGAAGGAAAAACAGCGTTGGAAATATTCTTCCGGAACAATGGGTATTGGGTTTTTTTTGTCGGGAAAGCAAAAAATGTTTTCTTGTCACCGTTGCTCATTGTGTGCTAAGACATTGATGACTGCCATTCAAGAAAGCATCGCTGATGGCAGCAGTAATATTTCCAGACTGCTGCAAAGGATAAAAGCAGGAAGAATTAAGAAATGCTGGGGTATGAAAATTTCACTGTGAATCACAGCTATAATTTTGTAGACCCCGAAACTGGATGCCAAACCCAAACTACGGAGCGATTGTGAGGTAGTGCTAAATGGAGAAATACACGTCAGTGAGACACTGATCGCCACCATTTAAAATCATATTTAATAGAATTTATGTGGGGTCGACTAAATTAGAAACTCAACAATTTTCTGCAGTATTGAACGATATTCGTAATTTTATGACACCTGTTTAGATTGTATTTCGTTTTGTTTTGATATTTTTTATTTATGTGTGGAATATTCTATATTACAAAATTAAAACGAAAAGTTGGTACTTTTCAAGGAGGTTAGAATAGAAGGAGGGAAAGCTCAATTCAAACGTTGAAGCTTGGCAGCCATATTACTATTATCGCTGTGACTTGTGTGAAGGAAGTCTGTAATTGGAACTTTTCTTTTCCTTTTCTTTTTGAAGCATGTCAGCTTGTATAGCATATGGATGCGCAAATAGATTTTCGAAAACGATTCCTGGGATTACTTTTCACGCGTAAGTATAGATTTATTTTTTATGTAAATTGATAAATATGCTAAAAAAATATCACAATGCAATGTTGTTTTCTTTCTTGATGTGAAAAGGACTTAGTAATAATCAAAATATGTTAAAAACATTTTAATGTTTCTGTTTATAGCTGATATTTTCGTTTCTTAACATACAATGATACATGCTAGGATTTAAACTGTATAATTCTAACTTTTTAGGTAATTCTTTTCCTAATTTTCATGAAAAAAGTCAACGAAAGAAATTTGCTTCATAATGCTATAAATTTACTGATTCATGTTTTTTCTGAAGGCTTATTATACGAGCCAGTTTCCCTTAGAAAGTCCTCCACGAAGGCATCCCTCCTCTTAGGCAGATAGCCCTAGTGTGCTTTGCCATAATTAAATACACCACACCACACCACACCTGAAGGCTTATTATTTTTAATGTAAAATTATTAGGATATTTACTTCCTTTTTATAGTTTTCTTCTTAATTCTCTTTAAAACATCATTTTTTCGCTTAAATGGCCAAGGATAGAATTGAATATAATTTAGTTTTTATAAACATCTTTAGATACCTTTGCAATCGATTAGGAACAGCTGTGCTGTAGTATTGTGAATACTGTTATAATTTTAATAAAAATGGCCAAGATTTTTATCACTGTTGCATTTTTTATTCAATATCAGACAAAGACAATTTTTCATTATGCCTATAAATTTTCTGAACAGGAAAGCATTAGAAATAAGTCAGAATAGAATTTAAATAAGCTTTTATTTTTTTTAACTTGAAGATGGTTTAAGCTGAGCAACCATCTAAATCCACCATCTCTTTGTTCAAAAATTCTTACCAAATTTGTTACCTCAAGAACTATTTATTACTCGGAAATAACTATCTATATCTCTTTACTTATTTATAACTCTACAATAATTAAATAATTCCTTTACTCAATATTACTCAGAAGCTGCAGTTAGAAAAAAATATATACAAAAATATTAGAGTCAAAATATTGTTCATCCTCCCACCTTGCAATATGAAATTCGGGATTGAGTATTGCAAAATAATAAAAAAAATAAACATTGTTTTCACAAGTTCAATCGATGAGGAACTCTAATTGTCCTTCCTGATTTGGTTATCGCGGGCGATTTTAAAAGGGTATGGATTATTCTATTTGTATCTACAGGTGCATCATCAATTAAAGTTTTCTCTACCAAAATGTTTTTGCATAGTTGACTTCTGCTGAATTTCGATGGAAGTTCCTCGGCAGTCGATAATTCCAAAGGATAAAGATTTTGTACAGCTCTTTATGACTTCTCCATTTTGCACTTTAATTCTGGCTTGTCGACTATCACCGTCGGTACCTGGAAATAATTGTATGATTTTACCAAGAGGCCAATTTAATCTCCTTTTGTCATCGCCTCCAATTAAGACAATATCTCCTTCTTTTAATTTACAACTTCTAGCGAATTTTTTGCTCGTTGTTTTCAAAGTTCCCAGATATTCCTGGCGAAATCTTTTCTTGAAAGCCTGGTTAACATTTTGGATATAACGCAATCTACGTTTATAAAAGTTAGAATTGAAGTCATGTTTCACAATTGGCACTGAATAGTTTTGTATTTCTCGTAAAAAAATTTCCAGGTGCTATGGAAGTGAGACTTGAATCAGCCGATACAACTGTTAAAGGTCTATCATTTAGGATAGCTTCACAGTTACACAAAACGGTACACATTTCCTCATAACTAAGGCAGGCTCTCCCAAGAACCTTTCTTAATATTCTTTTCATTATTCCTATGAGGCGTTCCCACCAGCCACCCCACCATGGAGCGCCTGGGGGAATGAAATGAACTTCCAAATAATACGTTCATTAGCTCCTTTTTTTTGGCAATTTCATTGAAATCGATTGAAGCAAGTGCATTGCATGCTTCAACAAAATTTGTTCCATTTATCAGTATAAGTTATGGATGGCTTCCCACGTCTAGCAGAAAAACGATGAAACTCTTGTAGAAATGTATCTGTCGTTAAGGATGTAACCAGTTCCAAATGAACACACGCTGCGCAAGTGAATAGGCAAATCCATGCCTTCTTGTAGTCTCTTGGAAAGATACTAGGTCCAGCATAATCTATGCCGGTTATTTGAAACACTGAGGCATCTTGAATCCGATCTCTAGGAAATGGTGGCGCTGGTGGGTTAACATTTTTGTTTGAATAACGCTTACAGATTATACAAGTTTTCAAAACGGATGACACAACTCTTCTTTCCAGCTAATATCCAAAATCTTTCTTTTAAGGAATTTAGGACGTGAGAAAATCCATCTCCTTTCAACTTATGTTCTTCCACTATTAAACTTCTTATAAGAGGATGATCACTTGGCAAAATAGGAGTTCTGAACTCAGATGTATCTTCTCTTTGAAATATCGCTGTTTTAGTTCTGATGATGAATGGATTAAGACTTAAAATCCGTTTATCTTCTATTCCATTAAAGGACTCATTTTGTATTAAACGAATCAAGATATTCTCTGCTTCATTTAACTCAGATACGGTAAGTTCATCCTTTTTCTTGTTTTGATGTTTACAGTTGTAAACAAAACGACACATCCACGCTACCAGTCTGATTGTCTTACGATAACTTGAGAATCTAGTAGCAACTATTTCACTAGCATTAAGATTTATTAAGGACGAAATAATCCTTTTCTTTTTCTCAAGAGCTATTTCTTCTTCATCAGCACTAAAATCTTCCTTTGGCCATTTTTCTGGTGATAAATATAGCCATTTATAACCATCCCACCATCTAGATTTAATTAAATAAGAAGCAGAGCATCCTCTATACTGGGCAAATCAGCAGGATTCAGTGATCCTGGTACGTGCTTCCAAGATTCAATAGAAGTCAGTCGCTTTATTTCCTTAATTCTGTTGTGAACAAATACGACCCATACTTCATTCCTCTGTATCCAAACTAGCAGAATCTGTCCAAAAATAAATATCTTCAGCTTGAAATTCAGGTATTATCCTGGATGCTAAACGTGGACATATTGTAGCTCCAAGAAGTTCCAATCGAGCTATTGTTGTCTTTTTTCTTCTGCTGGGTGCAACTCTCGCTTTAGCTTGCACCAAATGAACTTGAACCGAATCTCTTGTTTGTACTCGAACAAAGGCCACAGCTGAATATGCAAGTTTACTCCCGGCACTGAAGAAATGAAGTGAGATTGAGATATTTTCAATCTCTTGATCACAGTTTAACCATCTTGGTATTCTCATTCTTTCCAGACACTGCAAATCATTCAACCATTTACAAAATTGTGATTTTGAGTTTAAATCAACTTCTTGGTCCCAAGATGACTTAACTTCCCATAGGTGCTGAAGTAAAAGTTTTGGCACAAGAGTTACGGGGCAAGCTATCCCTAAAGGGTCGAATATTTTGTGTGTAGTAGCTAAAATCTCTCTTTTAGACAAAATTTCTGGTAGATTGTAGGTGATGTTAGTAATATTAAGGCAAAGGTAATCTCACATCGTTCCCAAATCATTCCTAATACATTTGTGGTACTAGAGGAATTATCTGTTGGGTCACTATATTCCCAACCACGTAATTCTAGCTTTCTTGTAGCTAAAGTATCTGAAGCAAACTTGTATGAACTTGTTGCAATTCTAAATCATTTTTCACACTCGCTAAACAATTATCTACATAAAAGCTCTTCTTCAATTGCTCAATAATATCCACTTTATACTTTGGGTTTCCATTTAGTTGTTTCAAAGTGGATTCTAGAAGATGGTGAATTACAGAAACTAGCAAGAAAGGGGCTGCTTGTAACTCCAAATACTACCCTACAATGCCTGTAATACTTCAGTTTTCCATCAGTTCTATACCATAAGAATCTTAGATAGTCTTTATCCTTAGGGTTGAGACTTATTTGTAAGAATGCTTTTCGTATATCTGCAGAAACTCCTATTCTGTTCATTCGGAATCTATGAAGAATTGAAGGAATCAGTTCGATAAGGTTCTGACCTTTTTCTAGACAATCATTGAGACTAGGTGATCCTTTTTGTTTGGCCGAGGCATCAAACACTGGCCTGATTCGTGTAGTACTGTTTTCTTTTACTACGTGTCGATGTGGTAGATAATGGCATGTTACATCAATTTCGCTTTTTGGTACTTCTTCTTCTATGATGCCTTCTCGTTCCCATTCACTAAAAACTTCTCCATAAGCATCATAAAGTTTCTCAGCTTTTAGTCGTTTTACTGTAGAAGCTAATCTCTTTACAGCTAAGTCATAGTTATCTTTTAACGGTAGATGGTTATCAAGCCATGGCAAGCTGACTTGAAGACGTCCCTCTTCGTTCACCTTTACAGTAGACAAGAAATGATCTCTTGCTTCTTCTTGAAGCTCCAGTTTACTTTTCTTCTCTGAGGGATCTAGAATTCCAAGTGAATCTAGAGACCATAGATCGGATATCAATATTTTCTTATTCAACATGGATGTGACGAGCAGTGCGCAATTGTCCGAGATCTCACGCATACCATTTTTCCCAAAAAGAGTCCAACCAAGTTTAGTTTCTATAGCAGCAAGGCCTGAAGTAAGCAATTTAAATCCTCCGGTCATCAACTTGCCTGCAATGTCAGCGCCGATAAGTATTTCTATTGGTCCATTACTATCGTCGCATACGGAAATATTGTTCTCTTTAAGCTCTCGAATCCACTCGCGTATAGCAACTGGTGGTATACTTCCACAAATAATATCTTGGCTAAGAGCTTTGAAGTTACAATGATAAGTTCCATCCGTTTTAGACAAGAACACTGTAAAAACATCGTGGTTTATGACATCAGTACATGACCCGCCAAATAATGAATGGCTCAATCTTTCTTTAGATGTACTCTCAAATTTCATTTCATCTGCAGTGCTTTTTAAAATATAAGATCTCTGTGAAGCTGAATCGATAATAGCACGGGCCTGGCGCTTTCTATCTCGCCCTTTCAATGTAACCGTTAAAGTTTGCAAAAACACATTTGTTGTTCTCGCCAAATTGGCGAGGGTTTCATCTCGTTCAGGTACTGCATCCGTATTTTCATCCTTATTCGTGCTAACAGGAACTGGAGATTTTGATTCAGCTTGGATATTTCTACATAAAAGTATGTGGTGTTTCTTCCCACAAATCACACACGATGTTCGTTTTTTACATTTAGCTATTACATGTTTTCTGTCTAAACATAAAAAAGCAACTGCGACTATTTAGAGCTGCTTTTTGCCTTTCTTCATACATTATCTTTCTTGCTTTAAAGCAATCACCAGATGCATGATTTCTCGCACAAAAATACATCCAGTTGAATTTTTGTTCAGATGTTGCTATTAGAGTAGAAGCAGGTGTTTTGGAAAATTCTCCACGGTTTTTGAAACCAGTGTTTAGCATTCCCAGGCTTAGTAGTCTGATATTTAGTAAAGCACTGAGTAACTATAGATACTCTCTCTTCACCTTCAATTTCATCGAGCAAAAATGAAAGCAAACCATCTAAATCCATGCAATGTGTTGACGCATTTTTCTCTTTCAGATTCTCTCTGACTGTGATTAATAACTCGGAATCTTTGCCATCCGGCAATGACGATGCTCGATTAATGTATCATCTGGCAATGATGATTCGACTAGAGGATATAACGATTCGATAGAGGATATAAACATCGCCGCATATTTATCTCTAGCAACACCCAGAACTTCTAACGCTCTAAGTTTTGATTTTAAGTTATCATAGAGTTTTCGTAATGAAAATTTCTGCTGAGAGTTTTTTAATAATACTAACGAAAATAGATCTCTAACATAGACTTCTATAAGGTCTTCTTTCCCCAACGTGATTGAAGTTGTTGTAAAGCTTTACTATAACTTTCGCCACCGGGCGGAAAGCTTTTGATAAACTCTTCAGCAGATGACCCTTTTTCCATAGACTGCAATAAATATGGAAATTTATCATGATCATCTAAATTGGGATCATTATCGATCTTTTCAAATTCGCCCCAAAATCCTAACCAGCTTTTAATATTCCCATCATAAATCGGGATATAAGCTCAGGATTATTATTAGGATAACGTATTGTAGCATTTTGAGTTAAGCTTTCATTAACAACAGAACCGTTTTCCTTTTCAGCTAGAAGCGAAACTAATTTGTTTTCTACCATTCTCCACTTATCAATTTAGCATTTCGACTCATCATTACTCATTATTTATCACAGGTTCATCTTTTTCAATATTAATCAGTTCTTCTCTATAAGTCTGTTCTATTTCAATCATAGGTTTCGCTTTGTCCTCAACTAATTTAAGTTTCGAAGAGGGTAGGGTGATTACACTTCCGTTGCAAAAAGTGGAGGGGTAATGCGTACGTTGAGCCAAGGTTAAAATTGATAAGCACCGTGGGTTGTTTTAAGAGCGATGGGGGGACGAACTTTTCGGACAAAAGGAAGTTTCTTAAAATGCTTTATGCAAAAGATGTACTTTTGGAATTTTTCAACTTTCGGTTCTGTTCATATAAAATTCGCGAAAAAAGGGCCTTTACAATAAAAGCTTTTGTTGCTCTTTGATGAGTAATAGCTTATGCTGCAGACCTTACACAAAACACACATGAAGCTTCACTATCAGAAAATCATTCTGATTTGTGAAGGTTTTAGAGATAATTTATAACTGAACAGCTTACAAAATTCTTTGCATTCCATGAATTATTCTTATCTTCAGCACCTGTTGATATGAAATCTGCGAGTTCTAATACTTAAAGGGTCAAAAGTAATTGTTTACATCAAAATGTCCTGCTGCTAATATTAAATTTTTAGGTCATTAGCAACAAAAAAATCACTATCAGAAAATCATTCTGATGAATATTTGTGAAGAGAATTCTGAGAAAGTAATTTTCCTCCCTGGGAGGGGGGGGGAATGTCCGCAAACCAAATAGATAGGCAACTGTACGAATTGTTGCAGTGAAACAAATTAAATTTTAATAAATTATATTTTTTGTTTAGCTAGTGAAATAGTTTGGAAGTAGGTGTATATACATATATGCAAGTATTCTACAATATTCACAATTATGCACACATTTTTCGGAATTTCTGAAATGGAGTCCCAACCATCACTGGACCCTATAGTATTCATATCTTGCTTAGAACTGTTTTGGCAAATTACAAAGAACAAATATATTATGCACACAATGACAATGTCTTGGAACTTTGTTACACATTTATTAACAAACTGGTAAAAGTAATATAATCCTCAAGTAGGATGCATCATGATTTTCTAATCTTTCATATAATAACTAGAGTCAAGTCTTTAACCCGGACCTCAAAGGTACAAACTTTCTGCGCATACGTTAACGCATGCGCGTTTAACGTATAACGGACGGTATAAGCTAAGCTAAAATTATCTAATTCGGTTAATGTCGCAGATTGCGTTCTTCCTTAATCTTCTAATTGGATACGGCTTATCATTTTTTGCAGACTGTTAGAGCAATTTTATAAAAGTAAGCTTGAACTTTCGATTATGTCAAAAAGAATTTCCAATTCTGGAGCTACCAAAGGATCTACAGAGCGAAAGCATGTTCCGATGTCCATCAAACAAAGTGGAACTGCTGCAAAAAAATGGATAAAGACGTATCCTTTGATTCTCTAATCATTCTGAAGTATGTTTATTAATTTCACGCTGCTCTGCGGGGGGGAACGACGCGGCGCGCAATGAACTGGAAGTTGATCTATCAGCACTATCCTTATCTTCAGAGGAGATGTTTTTATTTCATTCGGCTTAGTAAACGTAGTATTTCATCTCGATGTACTCCGTCTTTGATATGATTTAAATCAAATTCCTCGTCATTAGAAATATCATGAATACACATCAAAGTTTTCTGGTTGCAATTTTCTAATTTCGACTTTACGTAATGTATGCTTTACGCATGCGCGAGTTTTAAAAAATGTTTAATAAAGTAAGCAAATAAATATAAAGCCTTTTTTTTGTAAATTTTGACACCCTTTAGATCATAATTGCTCTTTATTTCATAAATTACGGTTTCATATTTTTAATTTCTGAATGCCATCTTACCAGATTTAAACTGATGATCTATAATCCAGAATCGCCGAAGTCCTGACGAGTCCGGATTTAAGACTTTTGACTGTATAGTAAAAAAAATATTCAAAGCAAAATTTTACATCTGCATTTACAATAAAACTCTTAAAAATGTTCTTGTATTCCTGAATGAAATTTTTGTCTTCTTAATATATATAACAGTACTGAACAAGAAATTAACTGAAGTATACAATGAAATCTCTGGAAACTTGAGATTAATTTTTCTCAATATTAAAGATGCGTTTTTCAGAACAATGTTTATGTAACAATTCAAACTTTTTAGTTTCCTCCTGAATCTTTTTAAATCAAAGGAAAATAAACACAAGCTTATTTCAAGAAACATAACTAAAGAAAATTAAGAAAGATCCAATGCTTGTTTAGTTTAAGAAGACTAGCATTTGAGCCTTACCTTTCAGACCACCCTTTTTTTTTAATCAATTATACAATGTGGTATTGTATTGTTAAGTCTTTCAGAAATTACTGCTGATGGTATAATTAAGAACTTTTAATAGAACTCAAATTTTGCAATCTGCTTTCAATTGTGGGCATTAGTAAAATTTAACTTTTTCAAAGCTTTCAATTAAAATGTGTGTGTGTTGTAGTTTTTTTTTTTTTTTTTTAATTTGTATCTCAAATCATTTTTAGGAGTCATGGGATTCAAGTAGCTCATCCCTGATATATTATTTGCATAAATATTCTGATTTCTAAAAATTTGCTGCCAAAGCTGATTATGTTGTAACAATGCACACACAATCATTCTATCTGCATTGTTATGCTTTTAAATTATTTTCAGTTTTTTTTTACAATATAGTTAACTTAATAGTTTAAATGTAGTTAATTTAAAACAGATTAGCTTTAGCAGTAAATAAACTCATACAAGTGTACTCTTAATTGGGATATGAAATAATATTTTTGTTCCCTATGCCGACTATGAGATCTATGTAAACTAACTTGAAACTAGATAAACGATACTTGCCCTTCTGTGCATTCACACAAATCTCTTATACTTGCGACACGATATTTTCTCTTAGTCTCATATGAATCACTGAACAAAAATTTTAGCACTTTTATCTACCATTTCTCAAGAAAGTAAACCCAAGAGTTTTGCATTATAAACACTTAGTTTATTGTACCTACATTTTTAGATATAAAATTTTATTAACCCATTTCAGTATACCAAGGGTATTACTCAGTTCCTTCCTATTAAAAAAGGAGCTAAGCATTGTACACATTTGCTACAGCAATATTCATAAAAAAATGTACCATGCAAAATAGTGCTATCACCATTAGTTTGCATCAAGAGGTAGTAAAATGCATTTGCATATTTAAAATTTATTAAATGATTTTCAAATATTTGAAAAACAAGCTGCTAAGGGAAAGTCATGTTAAAGGCTGACATCTATTACTATGTATCCAAAGGAAAAGAATATCAACAGTAATTGAGCAAGTTTTCCTTTATTGCAGTCACGGCAAAGATAATATAAATTATCTTTATTGCACATTGACAGCTTCATGAAAGAGGCATATATGCAAACTGACAGCTACTAGTATGTATTTGATTATAGGAAGCAGCATTTATAAGTAGGTATGACAGAGCATTAATTAGACTGTAGGCCGATGCCTAGTCTTTCCACGAATAAGTCTAGACTACAGAACTACTTACAGTCTAACTTACAGAACGAGAACTGATATTGTTTAATTTAGAGAGAATGTGGAACCTACTATCCTTACTAAATATCTGTGAAAGTTTCATTTGGAAGGTGTGGAGATGCACAGATTATGTTTTCATTGCAAAATTTTTAATTAACTAAACAAATTTTGTTTTCTGCATTCTTGATAATCAAGTATATTTCTTTAAAACTATCAATTTTTATTTAAAATAAAAATAAAATTAAATTTAATATAATTTAGGCTTCTTATTTAATAAACAAGTACACATGCACCAATTTTACATTATGGCATCCTACAAAAACTATTCTTATGAAATAAAAATAACCATAAACCTAATTATTATAATAGAAGCCATTCATAGTCTGGCCAAAACATTGATCCTTGATTAAGTAAATGCACTAAAATTTAACTATGGTCAACATAACACAATTATAGCCAGCTACATAACCATTTCTGTAGCTGTCTCAGATGCCACTCAATGTATTCCTGCAACATGACTGAGAATTAGGCCTCATGCATTATGAACATATATAAATTCAATACGGCATGTTATGAACTGCAAAGATGGCCTATCATAAGTAAAATTTATATTTTTATATATAATGTTCTCATGTCCAATTGCTTAACACTGCACTCACCCCAACTATCCAAGCCTTCTTTTCTCTTTTCCAGAAATTATCAGTATAAACATGTGGCATTATGAAAATAGTTTTTAATGCAGTAAATGACATTGTTACAAATAGAATTAAATTAAAAGCTTAAATGGCTGGAAAATACTAAGTAGAAAAATATAGTATATTGCAAATTATTTTTTTGTGTGAGCAAGTGTTGAAGAGAATAAGCGAAGAACACAGAGAAATACAGATGAAGATAGATAAATCTAATAAATAGAAGATGAAAACAGGGACCAATAATGATAAACCCATTATACACATTCTCATGAATTTGATAGCAATACACGTGGCTGCTACTTTTATTTTCATGTACTATATTAAAGAAGCTATTAAATAACAATGTAAATTCAAAAAACCAAAATTTATTTTGAAATTGATGAAGCAACCGGAAACTATGCGTATAGTAACTAGGTATTCCCGTTTCTGGAAGAGGGCAGGGTACTGCTGATTTGAAAACCAATTTAGAAATAGATGCAGAAGACAATTCAAGGGTAGAATTCTTGTTATATATGGCCTTAAATGCCAGTCCCATATCTGGGAAGATTGGATGAGCGGTAAAAAAAATGAGAAGTTTAAGAATTCATAGAAAGTTATGAATAACCTAGCAGCTCCAACTTATTTGCACATGCACTTGTAATTAATATGAAATGTTATCAATGTAAAGAATCGAAAAGCTAAGCGCAGAATCTTATGTCTATTCTCAGGTTACATGAAACCCTCCAAACTGGGCTTGC